AATATGCTCACGCGGGTGAAATCCGCCGTGGCCAATTTCATGGGCGGCATCATGGCTGGCGGCTCGGGCTCCGAGCACGGCGGCGGCGGCGGCGGGGGCTCGGACCTGCCGCTGCGCTTCCCCTACGGGCGGCCGGAGTTCCTCGGGCTGTCTCAGGACGAGGTGGAGTGCAGCGCCGACCACATCGCCCGCCCCATCCTCATCCTCAAGGAGACCCGGCGGCTGCCCTGGGCCACCGGCTACGCAGAGTGAGTGCGGCGACACCCGCGGCGCCCCTCGCGGCCCTGCCCCGCGCGGCCGCAGCCTGCCCTGCCCGTGGCTGCCGGCGCCCAGGCCCGGTGGGGACCCAGACTTACGGGGACCGTTTCCCTCTCCCCACCCCCGGCCCCAGGGCGCGGCGTCTTTGGCCCCAGCTGGGTGGCAGAGGGGAGGGGACCTGCGCCGGGACCGTGAGAGCGCTGAGGTCGCACGGGGCTATGACACTAGGGGGCAAAGTGGTCAGAACGGCTCTGCTGAAGTTAGAACGTGGCAGGAAAATCTGGTCTCTGTGCACCCACCCTCCAAAAAAAAAATTACTATATTAATCCTCCTCCTCCACCTCTGTGTACCCCCGCTGGAGAGCCGCAGAGGGAGCGCCCGGAGCCGTCGCCACGCCTGGGGGCGGGCGGCCGAGGCCGAGGTGCGGGTGCGTGACTGCACCTTTCGGAAGGCTTTCTCCGATCGCAGCCTGCGAGTCCGCTGGCTTCTGCGTAGCTGGTAGTAAAACGCCGCGAATGCCAGCGCCGTTCCCACAGTCCTTGGGGAGGGTGGAAACTTACTCCAGGCGTCTAATAAAGCGCTTTGGTAATCAGCTTTGGCGATTAAGTGAGCGGTGGAGTGATTTGCTGTTTTAAAAACCGACAGAGTTAGGTTGGCGATCTGGACTGGAACCGGGAAAGGAGGGAGTGAGGATTTTATTGCCCTTCACCTACTCCAGGGCTGCGTCTCCATTGATTTTGAACAGTCCAGCTTATGAATGGCAGGTTAAGTTTTCTCCCATTATCGCCTACTTAAGCTGCCCAGAACTGGACAACTAGCAAAGGGGAGTGCTGACCAGAATTGTTAGGTTGATAACTAGCTGGTGCGTGAAACGGCACGCGCTAAAGCCGGGAGCAGGCGCACCTGCCGCGTTTCCTGTAACCTCCTTAACCCCTGGTAATCTTGGCCGGCCCCGCCCACGCACGACTTCGCTCGCTGATTGGTCCATCCAAGGACCAATCCGCTCGGCCTACGCTTGGGCGCCTTGCTGTTGACCCGGTTCTGGTGGCCCGGATACCCGGGGCAGGCAGTGTTCCCCACTCTCCCGGTTCTGGCACAGAGATTGAAATCTCTGATTGTGTCTTCCTCCCTAAGTCAACCTGTAACCGTTTCCCAAACAGCTTGTGTGTAAGGCGGGATAGACGACTGGAGCGTAAGGTGCCGAAAGTGTGCGTTATGGGGGATGCTCAAACTGAAATATTGACGTTTAATAACAGGAGCGAGGATGAGAACCCGGAGGGTGGAGGAGATGCAAAAGGGCACCGTAATTTAAGGAAAAAAGCCCAGACAGAAGTAAAGAAAGACCTAAAGAAAAACAAAAATGCCTACCAGAATACACCAAGCACTGTTTCTTGCCTGAAATTTAAAACAGTGAAAACAAAAAAAGCCCAACAAACAAACAAAACAATAACCCCTCTTGGTTTTCTGCAGAACACAAAACACCTCGGAAGCGTATGCCTTCGATGATTGTGTAGGTGGGGGCCTTGTGCCTGCCCAGCGCTGGAGGGTGGGGCGTTCTTGTCGCTGTGGTGTTTGGCAGGGCCAGGGTGCCCTTCTTAGGGCCTGAAAGATGCGTGGGCAAATGCTGAGAAAGTGATGCACGTAAGGAAAGAAGGAAGGAAGATACTGAAACACTGGAAGTGGATGCTACTCAGGCTCAGTAGGAGGAACCTCACATAAGCATGTGGAAACAGCAAACACCAATTTCAGAATGTTTCGATGCCACTGGTGGGCATGAGATGCCAAGGGCTGTATGAAGGAACCAGAAGTGAGACAGGAAGGATAAGATAGACGCTGTACTTCGTCCTTGCCCAGCCTCAGTTTCCTTATCTCTAAGAAGCTTATCTTTTCCTGGACAGGAACACGTCAAGAATTCAACTGAAAGGCTAGAAAGGCCATTGTAACATGCTGTATTGTTCTAGCATAGTTATGAAAGTAGTACGTGCATGTTAATTCATGGAAAGATCTGTGTAAAAATGACAATTTGCTTCCATTCCCATGCTATCATTCCTGAGAGATAACATATTTGGGTAATTCCAGACTTCTTTGAACCTAAATATAAATATATATCATATTTCTTTTTGTTCTTCCCCAAGCTGGCACGTGCTAAATATGGCACTTGGTAGCATTTCCCCAAAACACTGGGTCATGGATAGTATTCCATTCATTCTTTTTAACTATATCCATAGTATTAATAATAGCTAATGTAATTGGTGCTTGCTCTTTACTGCTTATTCTGTGCTCAGGTTCATGTTGTATTACCTGAGTCTCACATTAACTCCTAGGAAGCAGGCACTATCATTGCCATATTTCAGATAAGGGGACAGACAGTGAATGGGTAGTCAGTATGCCCAGAGTGACTTACCAGCACTTGTATTTGAACCAGGGTGATCTGCCCCAGAGCCCACCATGAAAAACTCCCACTGTACAGTATTTGATTAAGATGCATCTGTCTGAACCCAGGTGCAGCCACTAACAGTCTTGCCACCTCTCTTCTGTCCTTGTCAGATACTGTCTTGCACCATTTCCGCAAGCCTTGACTATAGTTTTACTTCCCTCTGACAACCTGAGTGATCCAACTGGCTGAAATAGGGAAGCGAAGAGAAACGCCAGTGGCGAGCGCAGCTGGGACTGGATGGTACCACCAGTGGTGCTGCTCTTTCCCGGAGGATCCAGGTTCCTCTTCTGTTTGTTCTAGGATGTGGGAATATTGCTGAGAAAGTAGAGATAGGAAAGGGGCTCATGAACCCAGGCCTTAGCCAGGACTGGTTTGATTGCCTCTAGAAAGAATATGGTTCTAAGCCTTGTTGGGGGAAGAACAGCATCACTGGGTGATTTATTGAGAGATTGGGGAAAGGAGTTGTGCTACAGTATTGATCAACACTTTGTATATAGAAATTGAGGGGAAAGGGTCTGTTTTTGCCACACGCTGGTCATGCCTTTCAAGAAGAGATACTCTGTAAGTGGTAGCATGCAATCCCCATAAATCTTTTTTTTTTTAATTTTTTTTTTAACATTTATTTATTTATTGTGTGTGTGTGGCCAGCTCAGCCCTCCAGGGGGCGGGGCTGGCTGGCATGTGGTGCTGGGGGATCGAACCCTGGTTGGTCCCTGTGCTTTGCCAAGCTTGTTCCATGTAGGTGCTTTAGACCACTGAGCCATCTCGCCAGCCCTTTTAATTTTTTTTTTTAAAGTTTATTTATTTATTGTGTGTGTGTGTGTGTGTGTGTGTGGCCAGCTCAGCCCACCAGGGGGCGCGGCTGGCTGGCATGTGGTGCTGGGGGATCGAACTGCGGTCCCTGTGCTTTGCCAAGCTTGTTCCAAGTAGGTGCTTTAGACCACTGAGCCATCTCGCCAGCCCCTTAATTTTTTTTTTTAACATTTATTTAATCCCCATAAATCTTGAAGACCCACGTGCATTTTGGTGTTTATTGGCTTCATGCTGATGAGATTTTCTGGTTCCAGAAAGCTTCCTGTTGTGGTTGAAAAGTTTAGCTACTTAGTAAAGGGCAACCTGCTAGGTTGTGAAGCTCTATAAATTAGAGTATTGCAGCTATGGACAGTATCCGCTGAGCTAGAATCTTTCTATAACCATGCATTGGCAGGTTTCGTTTTTTCAATTTGATTTTGAAGTCACTGAATCTGTGAGGGCTTTAAGCGAGTGGCTGCTGTAGGAAGCAGCAGTCTGCCTCAGTGACTGTGGGGCAGCTTCTCCCCTCCTCTGTCCACAGGTTGAATAGCCACCTGAGTGGCCCTGGTGCTGTGGGGACGTGGAGGTCAGGTCATTTGTAGTGAGTTGAAAACTGACTTTTTTCTCCTCCTTGTAATGTTTGCTTACCTTTTCCTGTTGATAAGAAGTTGGATTTAAAGACGCAGGAAGACATGGAACTTGTGCCTTAGACCTAGCCAGATGCCAAAGAATGTGCTAGTGTTTTGAGCAGCTCTATTTTGTATATTAAAGCATCATATTTAAACTTTATCAATGATATTTTTCTTTGTTCAGAAAGTATTAACTATGACATAATTTTAGGTTATAATAATTTTCCCTGTCATCTTTAATAAAAATACTCCTGGACATGGGTTAAAAAAAAACCCTACTTTGAGAGCTTTAAGTTTTCTTATATCTCACAGAGTTCAAAATTGTGATTTTTTTTTTTTAAATTTTATGTATTTAGTACAGGGTCTACAGGGTCTCACTACACTGATTGGACTCATAGTGATCCTCCTGTTCACAGCCTCCCAAGTGCTGGGATTACAGGCACAGGCCACCATGCCCAGTCTCAATTGTTGTCTCAACTCAGCACAGCATGCCAGGGATCCCTGTGTCTGCCTAAGCAGGAGCTTTAATCCGCTGAGCTACTGGCTGACCCTTGCAATTTATTTATTTATTTTATGGTAGTGGATGCAGATATTGACTCTGTTGTCTTCACAGTGAGCTACATCCCCAGCTCTTTGTTTGTTTGTTTATTTATTTATTTATTTATGGCAGAACCGGGGATTGAACTCAGGCCCTTGAGTTTACCAGGCAAGCACTTATTCCACTGAGCCATCTCCATGGCCCTTTGATTTATTTTAAGACAGGACCTTCCTAAGTCTGAGTTGCCAGACTGAACTCCAGCTTGCAATCCTCTTGCCTCAGCCAGCCTGCCATGATAGGCATATGCAACCTGGCCTGGCTACACTTGTGCAGTTTTGATGAAATGGCATTCAAATCCAGCAACCAGTTTACAAGGTTCTCAGCTGCTGTTTCTCTTCAGCCACTGGCACCGGTTCCCATTACCAACTGCAGCATTCGCTGTTAGCAGTGACGACAGAGAAACCACTATTTCTCTCTTGCTCCCAGACTCAGAAATCCCCTGGCCCCTCTTCTCCCCTTTCAGCTGCTTCTGGCTCTTCCACCCATTTTCCAGCAAGTAAGTCTCTGTGAAGCTCCTGCTTGGGAACTTCCTGT